AGCGGTTGTCCCCCAATCGGTAGGTTTGTGGTTCGATCCCCGGGCCTTCTGCACGCTTCGAAGTATCTCTTGAGGCACAGATACTTGAACCGCGACAAATTGCTCCTGAATGCATAGCATCAGTGTGTGAATGTGTATGAATGATGCACTGTATGCGTGCATGTTCGAATGCCAACTTTGCCATTCCGAGCTGGTGTGAGATGGTGTTGTGAAAGCGGTGGAATGTGAATGTGGACTAGTGCTCTACCTCTGAGCCACAGCCATCTGGCATCCTGGTATTGTAGAAAAGGCTCTGAAACAGAAAGGATTTACACAAAATAATATATTTTAAATGAATGTAGAGACATTTTTGAGTGGCTACTGGGGAACAGTGACAAAAGGTCAAAAGCAGATTTTTATTTTACATATATTATTTTTATTTAAGTTTTACTTTCTCTACTTCAGACTCGCCCAGAAATAGTTGCTCCTCTTCTCCTTTATTTTCTGGCGTCTCTGAAGAGCCGCTGTAAAGCTGAATGAAGCCTGGTCACCTGTGACGGCGCCCACCTGTCACTCAAAATAACTCACTATGCAAAATAATTATATTTTAATAATAATATGAATATTTAAAAATATATTTTTGTTAAAAATAAGATGTATTACTTATATTTTTGGCCTCTATGGGCTCCCATCCTCCCCCCTTATGGGCAGCCATTGTCTACTAATTTATGGCCCCCCTCTGAGGATCAATAAAGGTTTATCTTATCTTATTAATTTAGATTTCAACAGCAAAATAAGGTTTATCACTCTGCCTCCTTTACACCATGAAACATTCTGTAAATGTGTCGTCATGTTGATGAAGGAAACATTAAAAGTCACAAATAACAAAAAAACAACAACAACATAATTTGAACAGGTTGATGGATCCAGGTAAAGGTTAGCGTAGCTTAGCATAAAGACTGGAAACAGGGGGAAACTGCTAGCGTTATATAAGAATACAGAAAAACTGTACGTCAGTGTCAGTCTGTCTGTCTGTCTGTCTCTCTCCTCTGTCTGTCTCTCTGGTCTCCTCTGTCTGTCTGTCTTCTTGTCTGTCTCTCTCTCTGTCTGTCTGTCTGTCTGTCTGTCTGCTCTCTCTGTCTGTCTGTCTGTCTGTCTGTCTCTCTCTCTCTCAGACAGACTGGAGAGCTTTGTGATTTACGTTCCTTCATTAGCGTCTCGTCTCTTTATCTGGTGACCGAGAATCAAACTGTTGGTTTTTACTTTCGAACAAATGAAGCAGAAACTCGACGGTTCAGACAGATGTCCCCCCGTCCGTCCCCCACCGCCGCCGCCCCCGCCACTGAAACTAAAATGTTTGAGTTGTAATTCGCCCCGGTGACCGATTAGAGGACAGACGGTGTGTGTTTAAAGAAAAGAGAGACACATCACTTATTTAACTGTTGTGTGTTTAGTGTTAATACTGAATCAGAGCGTGTTAAAGAGGCCTGAAGGTCTTTTAATTAACTCTAACTCAACCGTCTGTGTGTGTGTACAATCCACCTTCCCACATTCCTGCTCAGTGTCACAGTGACATTATATTATAGTTAAATAAGAGCCTTCAGATCAGGTTCTTCATGACAAATAACATTTATTTCATTATATTTCTCAGGTTTGTCTTTTGGTTTCTGTTTTAAGGAAGTTTGTTTGTTCTTCTATCGCAGGCCAGAATCAATACTTATTGGACAAATCTGCAGCTTCTGACGTATATTCAGTGAAATCGTATGAGGAACTGAAGGCTTTGTGTAGGTAACAGACTGCAGATCGCTGCAGGGATCATGTATTTTTGTAGTCGTCCTGGTTGCTTGTTTTTCTGCAGCCAGCGGAGGTCACGTACAGCGAGTTAAGCAGATAAACAGTAAAATGTGTTTGTGAACAGATTTGAAGAGAGAAATAGTCAACATCAGAATCTGGATCCATATCTGATCAGCACTGTTTGACACTCTATGGGCTCCATCCCCCCCTTAATGGGCAGGCCAATGTCTACTAATTTTATGGCCCCCCTCTGAGGATAAATAAAGTTTATCTTTCTTGATTAATAGTTGGATTTCAACAGCAAATAAGGTTTATCACTCTGGGCCTCCTTTACACCATGAAACATTCTGTAAATGGTGTCGTCATGTTTGGATGGAAGGAAACATTAAAAGTCACAAATAACAAAAAAACAACAACAACATAATTTGAACAGGTTGATGGATCCAGGTAGAGGTTAGCGATAGCTTGCATAAAGACTGGAAACAGGGGGAAACTGCTAGCGTTATATAAGAATACAGAAAAACTGTACGTCAGTGTCAGTCTGTCTGGTCTGTCTGTCCTCTCCTCTGTCTGTCTCTCTGGTCTCTCTGTCTGTCTGTCTGTCTGTCTGTCTCTCTCTCTGTCTGTCTGTCTGTCTGTCTGTCTGCTCTCTCTGTCTGTCTGTCTGTCTGTCTGTCTCTCTCTCTCTAGACAGACTGGAGAGCTTTGTGATTTTACGTTCCTTTCATTTAGCGTCTCGGTCTCTTTATCTGGTGGACCGAGAATCAAACTGTTGGGTTTTTACTTCGAACAAATGGAAGCAGGAAACTCGACGGTTCAGACAGATGTCCCCCGTCCGTCCCCCACCGCCGCGCCCCCGCCACTGAAACTTAAATGTGTTGATTGTAATTCGCCCCGGTGACCGATTGAGAGGACAGACGGTTGTGTTTAAAGAAAAGAGAGAACACATCACTTATTTAACTGTTGTGTGTTTTTAGTGTTATATACTGAATCAAGAGCGTGTTAAAGAGGCCGAAGGTCCTTTTAATTAACTCTAAACTCAACCGTCTGTGGTGTGTGTACAATCCCCTTCCCACATTCCTGCTCAGTGTCACAGTGACATTATATTATAGTTAAATAAAGAGCCTTCAGATCAGGTTCTTCATGACACAATAACATTTATATTCATTATATTTCTCAGTTTGTCCTTTTGGTTTCTGTTTTAAGGAAGTTTGTTGTTCTTCTATCGCAGGCCAGAATCAATACTTATTGGACAAACTTGCAGCTTCTGACGTATATTCAGGTAAATCGTATGAGGAACGTGAAGGCTTGTGTAGGGTAAACAGACTGCAGAATCGCTGCAGGGGATCATGTAATTTTTTGTAGTCGTCCTGGTTGCTTGTTTTTCTGCAGCCAGGCGGACGGTCACGTACAGCGAGTTAAGCAGTAAACAGTGTAAATGTGTTTTTTGTGAACCAGATTTGAAGAGGAGAAAATAGTCCACATCAGAATCTGGATCCATATCTGATCAGCACTGTTTGACAGTTTGATCTGAGTTTGGTGCGTTGGCTGGACGGACTCACTGAGAATGAGCTGTCAATTCACAGTAGCCTCGCTTCCATAATAGCCTACCCATGCTATTATGGTCTGTTGACTCTGAAATGGGACCATTCAGTTACTAAATGAACAGTCATATATAGCTGTATGGAAGAACGCACTGAAAATAGAGTCTGAGACCAGAAACCCATCAGGAAACTGTTCACTGAGCTAATGAATGAAGTCAGAAGTCTGCTCATTTTTCCATAAGACTCAATACTATCAGAGTGGAGGTGCCACCTGCTGGCTGTTAGAAAGAATACAGGTTTAAGACACTACTCAGACCAGAAAGCTGCCCACTCATTTTTAACTTTTATCTCGTCCACAGGTTCATGGTGGGTTAGTTGCTGCTTTATGAGATTCAGTTTTAACAAAATAAGAAGTCAGGCAGTGAAATAAATTCAGTTAATTCAGAATAAATGTACCTGTGGACGTACAGATAACCTGCAGCCTCGTTCTCACCACTGGACACATAGTCCCTGATGACTTTTAGATGCATTTAGACTCACTTCCCCAGAATTCAGCCTCATTTATTTTGTATTTTGGGAAACCTTTGTGACATTAAAGCTCTGTTTGAGTTTGAAGACAGAGCTGAAGGTCATTAGTCCGGCTCATTGATTCAGTTTTAGCAGCCGGACCCTCTGTTGAGGTTTAACAGTAACTCGTGGACACTGAGTCCATAAATGAATAAAAGCAGATAGGGTTCAGTTTATGCAAATCCAGCTGAGGCAGGTTGTCTATTTGAATACAGCAGATGAGAACACACATCGGTCTGTCCGAGTGCTGACGTCAGTTTATGTGAGCGGTTTATAACACATAATATAAAATACTACATACACTTCATTCACTTTTTTACATACCAACAGTTAACAGTTTACGTACTAACAGTGATTTTGTGTTCATCATTGAAGAGGCACTCACACACTTCAACAGCTATAAAATGAGATATATGACGGTACAGTGATGAAACTCATCCTGAACCTTGTGAGTCCAGTACTTTTTGTTAACCTGGTTGTTTCTGTGTTTTACAGACGGAAAGACGCGGACTAAAGATAAGTACCGGGTGGTTTACACCGACCACCAGCGGCTGGAGCTTGAGAAAGAGTTTCACTACAGCAAATACATCACCATCAGGAGGAAGGCGGAGCTCGCCACAGCGCTCGGCCTGTCAGAGAGACAGGTAAAGACAAAGAAACTCATATAAAATATGGTTTTACTGCACTTTATTTAAGTTATTTTAAAATTGTAACTAACACAAACTCAGTTTTGTGAGTTACAGAAACCTGATTAAGTACTTTTTGGGGTTTTTTTTGTTTTCAGAGTACAAAATAAAAATCTATGTTTCGATATCGATGCGTGAGCACTGATGTTACGACGATTGTTCGCATTTAGCTAAAAAAAGAGCTGCTAGCACTGACAATTAAACCTCTAACAATTTAATTAAGGAGAAATTCACTGTATTTATAGTAAATGTACAAAAACACCAATAGAGTCACTTTAAAACAACTTTTCTCCTGCTCCAGGTGAAGATCTGGTTCCAGAACCGCCGGGCCAAGGAGCGCAAGATCAACAAGAAGAAGCTCCAGCAGCCGGCCTCCTCCACGACCACGCCCACGCCTCCCACCGGCACCAACGGCGGCGGCCTCCACGGAAATGGCGGGAGCAGCATGGTGACGAGCAGCAGCGGCAGCAACGGGCTGGTGTCCCCTTCTTCTCTGGCTTTGAACATCAAAGAAGAGTACTGAGGAGGAGGAGGAGGATACAGATGTTTTATTGGATTGATGTCGGGGACGTGGACTGAAAATTCTCCCCGAACGAACTGAAAAACTTTTATGCGCCATATCCTGCCATCTTTTCTGTCCGCCCTCTTAAAGCTAAAGCTCGTTAAAAACGTGGGCGACGTCCTCAGCAGCTTCCTGTCCCATCAGACTGTCGCAGATGATTCCTGTTTGCTGGGACGTCGTCAGGTGAAATCAAGCTGCTATAAAACAGGAAGTCTCTCAGGAGCTCTCAGGTGAAACTTTAATTCAGCTCTTCACCACCGCTGGATCCATCACGTGTCTTCAAAACTCCCAGAACTTTATTTTAAATCCTTGTGGAGATCCTAAAGATACCAAACATAATGCACAAGACAAGTTGAATATTTCCATTTGATGGAAACAAACAGGTCTTGGGTTTGTTTTCACTCCTTTAGCTTCAATGAAGAGCTTCAGCGTATAGAATATATATGAAACTGTCAGACAGTTTGTTTTTTAACTCTAAAGCTACTTAAAAAAAAAGATTTTCAGGGTAAATCCAGATGTTTGTTTTTAGCTTGTTGATGATGCATTTAAAAAAAAAAAAGTATCCTGCTTCATTAAGAAATGTTTTCTCGACCTTTATACCATCATGGTCTGGTATGAATACTGGATTCTGATTGGCTGCTGGGTGTCCATTAATTCCTGATGTAGGACGCCTAATGAGTAGTTCCAGTGAAACTGTCTGTTCACCGTCCTAAATTAATGAAAACTGAAATAAATTAAATGGAAAACGTGAATATCTTGAATGTAGTCCTTCAGTGCCTCTGAATCCTCCTCACATCCTCTGTTTAACTCGCTGCTTCAGGCCGACACGAAGTTATCTTCATATCGATTTAGCGTCAATAACATGGCTACCTAACAGAGTTGCCACCCCGTCCTGTTTCTGACGATCAAATATCTCATCAAATCTTAATTCTTTTTTTATTTTTTATTTATTTATTATTTATTTTTTAAGATTATTGATTGAGCTGCTTTTACTCGTAATTGTAACTGGTAAAAAACCTTTTGTTCCAGTTACAGAAAGATTCCTGATTAATAACTTTTTACGAGGTATTTTGTTTTCACAGGAAGTAAAAATTACAAAATTAAGTCACTTAGAATTAGTAAAGCTGACTTACATAATTTAGTTAGTTTTACATAAAATCTTCAACGTAATAACAATTTCTCGAGTTAAATGAACTTGTCTGGTTTTACAGTGAACTGTTTATTTGGAATATGAGATTGTGTGTGAGCAGGTGAGCCGCCATTGTTTCCTGATACAGACGAGTTGAAAGCTCAACTCGCAGTACCTGACCTCCGCTGCCTCCGACTCATGGCGACGACTGTAGCGGCAAACAAAATGGGACTCTACAAACTCATGGGTGACGTTACAAAGATTTGTCCCGTATTTTCGTGCTCACAAATAAAACCAACACGAGAATCAGAATCATTGAAGATTTACTTTATTTATCCTGGTACCTCTCTAGCTACCAGTCCACGATCCATACTGGTCTTTGCTGGACTTGAACCGGCAACCCTCTGGTTCTAAAGCCAACGGACTGAGCTAAACTGCCTTCGTTACAAAGAGTTATAAGATTTATAAAAGAAATATATTGACGAGTATCTCCAGCCGCCCGTATGGACGTTGTCAGATCTGAACTGCAGATGGACAAAAGAACTGAACTTCGGTCGGATAATTAGTTATGAAAATGTAAAAGTTAAGTTAAATGAACTTGAGAAAACTAAACTAAAATATTCAATCAACAAATGTTTAGTCACATGAAGGCGGCTCCAAGGGACCTCGTTCAGTTATTAAGTGCACAGCAGTAAAGACTGAATAATAAAACATGACTTATTTTAACACAGCAAGTTTCCATCATGTCTGTTGTCCTCAAACAATAAAAAAGAGGAGCTGAACTCATGTTTATAAGTTCTGAAGTGGTCTGAAAATAAAAACATTTTAAGTTAAATTAATAAAACTTGTATAAAAGTTAATGGTGACAGATTAACTGATTCCCTGTATGATGTTTTACAGTGTAGTAAAACCAGAAGGCTTTATTGTAAAGACGACTGCTGAAGATAAAAGAGACATAAAGTCACTTCTTAACTTCTAATGTAGATCAGCTGATTAGCGACTTTAACCAGACTGGGTCAGGTTCCTGGTCTGCAGAGGTCAGTTCCTATCACAGGTGGTCCAAGGAAGGTAAAGAACCGGAGAGAGGGTCATGGATCGGACCACACAGTGTCATAATGTTATGGCTGATGGTGTGTGTCTCTCTAATCTTTTAACCATCTGTCTTTCCAACACAGATTAGCCTAGCACGTAGCATATCTAAGTACAGGAAAGGAGGAAGTTGACCGAGGGTTGCTCAACTGTTATTGGAGCACAGGGCAAAAGGGGGGCGGGGCTTATGACAGGTAAATTAAGGCCTGATATCCTACAGTGGATGAAGCCGATGGGTTCGTACTCAGTTTGATCAGGATACTTTTCTATTTGAAACTGTAATAATTTGGAGGTTTAACAAACATTGTGAAGGAGTCGGATAATGACAGAACAGAGAAAACCCAGAAAGATGGAACGAAA